GACCCTCTACACCTGCAGGTCTCCTCTCTAGGCAGTGGGAACGACCATGTGATGGATGCTGTGTCACAGTGTGAGCAGTATGCTAAGGAGCAGGGAGCTCAGGAGAGGAACGCTCCATGGAGGCTGTTCTTCAGGAAGGAAATATTCACTCCGTGGCACAATCCTCTAGAAGATCAGGTGGCCACCAACCTCATCTACCAACAAATTGTCAGAGGGGTCAAATTCGGAGAATACCGCTGTGATCGGGTAACTTCGTTTTCCTCTTGGGTCATCCTAAACCAAGATGAGGTTTTCACTATCTGAGAAGAAGTAATCTTAGAGATGTACCAGGTCTTAATGACAGGTTAGAGATGGTGCTGAGAGTAGAAAGCAAAAGGCTGATTTGGACAAACCAAAGTTCTTTCTGTTCCAAACTCAGACACTCATCTATCGTCCTCTTTGTGTCTCCAGGATGACCTGGCAGATCTGGCCTCGCAGCAGTATTACATCGATTATGGCTCAGAGATCCTTTTGGAACGCCTGCTGAGCCTCATACCATCCTACATCCCAGACAGAGAAATCGGAACCTCCAAGTCAGTGGAGAAGTGGGCTCATTTTATCATGGCGGCCCACAAAAAGGTTCTAAAACTCAACAAAAGCTTGCAAAGCTGTTATCCATAGAAGGAAGGGTGACACATTGATCTCTCCTCCAGCTTTACCAATAAACATCTCTGTGGTTTTCCTCAGGGTGTCTACGCCCAGAAAAGGTTTGACCCCCAGAAGGTGAAACAAGAAGTGGTGGAGTTTGCCCGCCACAAGTGGCCGCTGCTGTTCTCTCGTTTTTATGAAGCCTTCAAGTTCTCAGGTGAGATTAGTTCACCTTGTACCTGGTGTGGGAGAAGGTGAGCATAATGTTTAATCAACAACAGAAATGCAAATTCCTACATTACAGCAGGAGTGTCACGCTCAAACTCACACTGGGTCAAAATGAAAACTTTATTGGAAAACTGACCTTAAATGTTTTCCTCCAGATATTTATTGTTGCGTCTTTTCATTTGGAAACAAGCTTATTTTGCATAAACACTGAATCTGGAATCATCACATTACAGACGAGCGAAACACATTATGTCTGGGTTCTTTTTCATCTTTGAATGCTTTAAAATGTGTACATATACCACATTTAGAATTAGTTTGAGTGTTTTTAATCTTTTAATCCAAGCGGAATGTGGCTTGGGTTGTAACCGAGGCAAAAGCCTGAGCCTGGGAGGGGTTTGTGAGACCCTGGAGCAAGACATCCATACGCCACCCAGTGCCTCAAGAGGGGAAGCCAGTGCACTACCAACCCTGTTCACAGTTGGGACCTCCACTCTGGACATAGTGAGTGGGCAAAGTACTTTGAAGACCTCCTTATTCCCACCAGCACATCTTCCACTGACGAAGCAGAAGCCATTTTTAAAAAAACAATGCCAACAATTTGCCGCAACACTGAAACTTCATCAGGGAGCCTTAGGTCATTCATAAGTGGTCCGATCGTGGCGGTAATGCTGTGCAATCGTCCTTTTCACAAAAGATTACGCAATGGCGGCATAAAGGAGATGTGGGGGCAGTCTCTGCCTGCTGCGGACTTCCGTTTATCTTAGACATAACTTGCTTTTTATTGCAATCAAAGCCGCGCTCATGAAGTTATTTTCAACAAGCCACTCCTGAAGGTGTCTGTCCGCCACAGTCCCTCTGGCGATCCGAGCTCCAGCTCTAATGAAGAGAAGCTCCTGGAGATCTGCGTCGCTTCATTTTAAATGATAAATGACCCACACTTGTGTAGCGCCTTTCAGAGTCAGAGGACTCTAAAGCGCTTTACACTACAGTGTATCATTCATCCATTCACACACTGGAGGTGATGAGCTACGGTGTAGCCACAGCTGCCCTGGGGCACACAGACAGAGGCGAGGCTGTCGAGCACAGGCGCCACCGGTCCCTCCGACCACCACCAGCAGGCAAGGTGGGTTAAGTGTCTTGCCCAAGGACACAACAGCAGAATTCTCTGTCCGAAGCCGGGATCGAACCTGCAACCTTCCGATTACTGGACAACCCGCTCAACCTGTTCATCATCTCAGCTGATTCTGTTTACAAAAGCAAAACTTACTGCCCATTTTTACTTTTATTTTCAATATAGTTGCCAGCCAGAGCTCTGCAGTAACTCCCCACATGATCATGACACCTCCCTCTGTTACGCCAAGGTGGAATCACCCTTTATGAGACAGGCAATTACCGTGATATTACTACCAAGCGAGGCGGAATGAATACCAAAAAACGTGTGCACCTCCTTGCCGGCATGGCACTTTTGTAAGACACACCACTGCAGTAATATTATGGTGATTTGCCTGCAGTGTGTCTTGTAAAAAGGGCTAGAGTCTGGGGACTTTGGGTTGGGCTCTCCAATCTCTGGTACTGAGGTCACTGAGGTGGTCAAAAAACAATTTGGTGGCAAGGTCCCAGGGGTGGATGAGATCCACTTGGAGTTCCTTAAGGCTCTTGTTTGTGCTGGGCTGTGTGAGCTGATGCGGCTCTGCAATATCGCGTGGGCAATGGGGGCAGTTCCACTGAACTGGCAGACCAGGGTGGTGGTTCCTTTATTTAAAAAGGGGACTGCAGGGTGTGTTCCAGCTACAGTGGTATCACACTCCTGAGCCTCCCAGGTAAAACTCATTCAGGGGTTCTGGAGAGGCGAGACGTCAGATAGTCGAACCTCAGATTCAGGAGGAGCAATGTGGTTCTTGTCCTGGCCGTGGAACACTGGACCAGCTCTATACCCTCAGGGGATCCTGGAGGGTGCGTGGGAGTTTGCCCAACCAGTCTACATGTGTTTGTGGGTTTGGAGAAGGTGGCTTCTTGTTCCAGGTTTTCCATGAAGAATTCACAGAGAGGGTGGGTGAAGGCGGGTTTCTCATTGCAAATCCTTCTAATCGTTTGTAAATAAGTCCGTTGTACGTGAAGTACGTGGAGTCTGCTACCAGCTCTATTAATTGTTTTATGTTGTCTGCCTTCTATTTAGTCCTTTTGTGTAACGTTCTGTGTTGTTTGACTCTGTTTATTACTATGTTGATGGTTTTTTTGGGTGAGAAGTGACGTCGTGTGAAATGAGTATTCAATTCAATTCAAATCAAAGATTCTTTATTAATCCCAGAGGGGAATTAGAGTTTCAGTACACACAATTCAGAGATCAGACATACATGGGCAAGATACATGACAAGAATTGGTGACTGTGGTCAATGGCAACCCTGAGTTGCGTTACCTTAATAGAGATAAGAGGGTTACATGAGGATTGAGTCAGGTGGAGGGAAAAAGGCACTTCAGAGTTACCCTCCACAGAGAGGGCAGCTTTGCTCTGCAAAAAACACCTCAGACAGAAATGCAACAGACTTCAGACATTACACAAGTGTCCACTAGGTGGGGTGGTGGGTTTGGGACTCTCCCTACTTCAGTTCCTGCAGCCGCGATAAGCAGTGCATGTCACCTCAGTCTGAACAGGGGTAAGAGCATTGAGGGTTGGAGGGTTGCAGTGACCCTGGAACGATTTGGCAGCCTTCCTGCAGTCCCGCCTAGGCTGGGATAGGAGACAGAATTGAGTTGCCATAGCGATGGCACATTCCACATATCCTCTGAGGGGAGTTTTTGTTGCATGTTGCTGTCTTATGAGTGCATACGCCAAGTAGGTTTGTGACCTATAAAACATGGAGTACGCACAGCTGCACGCAAGCTCCGCTTCATAAATCACACTCTACCTGGAAATGTGCTCAGGTGTTTTTGATCACATCCCACCGTCAACACGCCCACTTTTTGCCATAAATGGTCAATGCAAAGTGCCTCCTGGATCTCATGCATATACTTAAGCCGGCTCGTTGCAGCGCTCCGCCATTAACGATGGCGACCGCGGATCAAGGAAGCGCAATTAAACCGAAGCAGAAATTGAGGTACCTGTGGGTGAGGTGGAGAAATGAAAGGAAGTGCTTTTGCAAAACAAATAAGAGAAACTCCACAGAGTGACACAGCGTTGCTGAAGCCGTCAATGCTGAGTTCTTCAGAGAGATCTGTGACGGATATAAAAAAATGATCCGATCTGAAGGTGGAGGCAAAAAAACAAGATGTTTTGCCAATGCCAGTGTGTGTCTGCCACTGGCGAAGGCCCTGGCACCTCTGATCCCCCACCGCTCGCCGTTAGCAATACTCAGCAATACTCAGATCAGCAAGCGTGCGTGGCATCGTGCCAGAGAAGGAAGGAGATGCTGACCATGCAGAAGAGACTGGTAATGTTTAAGCCTTTTATTAATGCAGATCAAATGTGTCCGTCATTAAACAATATAATACAAAACCAAATCTCGATGTTTGTTCAGTGTCCGCTCGAAGCGGTACAAGGGAAAATGCTGCTGGACTTCATAAATGTATCTTCTCAGCAGCACTGCAGGTGCTCTCCATGTCCAACATGTGCGTAAGCCAGGTCCTTAGTCAACTTAAAGTTGCGCACATTTAACTGCTACATTTGTTTATTTATAAATCCCAAAGTTTGTGTGGAAAACTGCTTACGCAATTTTCCGACCTCATTTTGTGCATAAGCAAGCTTTATAAATGAGACCCCTGGTCACTCCACCTGCACTGCATTGACTCAAATGGTGAACAGCCGGTTAACATCAATGGACAACCCCGTGCTAGTGGGCTCAGTACTGTTAGATTTCAGTGCTGCCTTTGATGTGATCGACCATGGAATTTTGATTTCCAAACTAATTAGGTATGGTTTAGCCTCCTCTGCTATTAAATGGTTTACAAGCTATTTGTCAAGGAGATCTCAAAAAGTTTATCTTAATGGTGCATTATCTCGTATTGAGCCCCTACAATGTGGTGTTCCTCACTGCAGGGGCCTGTCTAGGGCCTCAGCTATTTTCCTTTTTGCTAATGATATGCTGAATGTACTAACGAAGGCTAAACTGACAACGTTTGCTGATGACTCAACTATATATTATGCTTCTCCCACTTGCTTTAAGCTCCAACAAGTTCTGTCCATTGAAATGGACAGAGTATATAGTTGGATCGCTGGAAATAGGTTAGTTTTAACCCTCCCACTGTCCTAATGGGTGTTATCCCTTGGGTCCATGTGGCAGGGTGAGGAGTGAGCACCACCTCACCCCTGCCACGTGGACCTCAAGGGATAAACCATCAATCCTGCTCAATGGTCAACTTTCCTTGCGGGGTCACCCATAAAGTCAGTGGGAGGGTTAAATGCTTCTACAACACTGAGTATAATATTTAGTTCAAGGCGCAGGTTATTAGCTAATCCTATGTTGGATTTACAGGTGAATGGTCAGAATGGACTTTGGTTTGATTGCTCACTGTCGTGGTCCGACCACACCAGCACTGTCGTAGCTGAGGTGGGTAACACACAAGTGTTCACCATTTCTCAGCTCACAGATTAGTCGTGTTGCTTCTGCACTTGTTCTGTCGTTTGGATTACCGTTCAGCCGTATGGTCAGCCGTGTCCAGTAGTCTTCTACAAGCAAGGCCATGAGATTGGTTCTTGGTTGTCATCCAAGAACAAATACCAAAGATACCGGTATGCATGACCCTGCTGGCTAATGGTCACGCAAGGACTATCTGCTAACACGTTATTGTTTTTTAGAAGAATTATTGAAACTAGAACACCGAAAAGTTTTATAACAACATCATTTTTCATTCAAATGTGTCTTCAACATTTACTCGAGTGGCAAAGAACCGACAGATTAATTTGCCACAACTAAAGAAGAAGAAGAAAATATCATTTCTGTAGCGCCTCCCAAGATAAAAATCACGAGGTGCTTCACAAAAACAAAAAATATA